TTTCTTTCTTTCTTTCTTTTTTTTTTTTATTTTTTGGATTTTTAACACATTTGCTTCTTTATTTCAAAATACAATATCTTTATTTGTTTATTTTTATGTGGTGCTGGGAATGGAACCCAGGGCCTCACTCATGCCAGGCAAGCGCTCTACCACTGAGCTACAACCCCAGCCCTTGGCAGTTATTTAAAAAGTTGAAGACACAATTGTCATAAGGAATGGAACAGACACTTCATAGAAGAAATATAATCTGTCAACAAATACACGAAAAAATGTTTAGCATCTCTAGCAATTACAGAAATGCAAATTAAAACTACACTAAAGTTGGGCGCAGTGGCACATGTCTGTAATTCCAACAGCATGGGAGACTGAGACAGGAGGATCGAGAGTTCAAAGCTAGCCTCAGCAATGGTGAGGTGCTAAGCAACTCAGTGAGGCCATGTCTCTAAATAAAATACAAAATAGGGCTGGGGATGTGGCTGAGTAGTTGAGTGCCCCGCCGAGTTCAATCCTCAGTACAAGAAAAAAAAAATTGCACTGAGATTTCATCTCACACCAGTCACAATGACAATTATCAAGAATACAAGTAATAAATGATGGTGAGGATGTGGGGGGAAAGGTACACTCATACATTGCTGGTTGGACTGCAAAGTGGTGCAACTACTTTGGAAAGCAGTATGGAGATTCCTCAGAAAACTTTGAATGGAACCTCCATTTGACCCAGTTACCCCATTCTTTGGAATACACCCAAAGGACTTAAAGTCAGCATACTACAGTGACATAGACATATCAATGTTTATAGCAGCTCAATTCACAATAGCTAAGCTATGGAACCAGCCTAGATTCCCTACAACAGATGAATGGATAAATAAAACGTGGTACATATACACAATGGAAAACTACTCAGCCATAAAGAGAAATGAAATTATGGCATTTGCCAGTAAATGGACAGAACTGGAGACTATCAAGCTAAATGAAATAAGCCAATCCCCCCAAAAACCAAAGGCTGAATATTCTCTCTGATATGTGGATGCTAACTGACAGCACGGGAGGGTGGGGAAGAGAAAAAAGTGCATTGGATTAGAAAAAGAGGAATGAAGGGAAGGGAGAAAGGATGGGAGTAGACAAGACAGTAGAATGAATCGGACATAACTTTCCTATGTTCACATGATATAGAACCAGTGTTAACTCCACATCATGTACAACTACAAGAATGGGAAGTTATATTCCATGTATGTATAATATGTCAAAATATATTCTGCTCTCATGTATAACTTCAGAACAAGTAAAAAATTTAAAAATATATACACTTAATAAAGAAAGATACAATTACTATATGACCCAAAAATTCCACCTGTAGATATATGCCCAAAAAGAACTGAAAAGAGAGACTCAAGATAGTTATATGCCAATATTCACTGCAGTAACACAATAGTCAAAAGGTAGAAAAACTGGCCATCAATAGACAAATGAATAGACAAAATATTTACATCTATACAATGGATTATTCCGTTGTAGAAAGACAGAACATTATGATTAATGCTACACATGTACAACCCTCATAGTGAATATTCAAAGAAAAAGCCAGAAACAATAGGATAAATATTTCAATATTTAGAATAGACAGATTCATAGAGACATAAAGTAGATCAGACGTTACCAGGGACTTGGGGGAAGGGAGAATGAGAGATACTATTTGATGGCTATGATGTTCTGCTTGGGTTAATGAAAATGTTTTAGAAATACATAGTGATGATCACACAATATGGTGCACATGCATTTGTACACATTGAAATTGTTACAATGGCTAATTTTTACAATTAAAAAATACAACAGAATTGGACATTATTACCCTGTGTGCATATATGATTACATGACCTGAGTAACTCTATATCATGTATAACCAGACAAAAAAGAAGTTATACTCCATTTATGTAGGATGTGTCAAATGCATTCTACTGGGCTGGGGATATAGCTCAGTTGGCAGAGTGCTTGTCTTGCATGCACAGGGCCCTGGGTTCAATCCCTAAGACTGCCAAAAAAAAAAAAAAAAAAAAAAAAAAGTATTCTATTGTCACGTATAACTAATTAGAACAAATAAAAGTATATTAAAAATTTTTTAAAGAACAAAAAAATACAACAAAACCACTGAATTTTAACTTTATATGTGTGAATTGTATCTCAATAAAGTTTTTTTTTGTTAAAATAGAAATTAAAGATCACTTAGAACAATGAGTATAATTGAGAGCAAGGCAAACTACTTACTAGCCTAAGCAATGTATAGTTATAAAGGTAATATGTAGTCATGTATATAGTTTGATTATATCAGACTTCTCTAGTTCTGATATAACAATTTATAGTAGAGTCCAAGGTAATATCTACTTAATAACAATAGGGAAGGAGAGAGATCAAACGAATGACATGTATATAAAGAATCCACAATTTAAGTACTTTAGATGAGCAATTTCCAATACCACTGTTATAGAGCTACTATAAGTAGCAATCAAACTTAACTCTGCTAATCTGAAGTGTTACCTACAAATCATTCTTATTTGTTAAAACAAGATTTCTACTGGGCAACAATGGCAATTAAGGAGTCCTGCCAGTTGCCAAAAATATCCAGGCGGTGTAGTCCCACATCTGCTCAGGGTCTTTATCCTTACATCTGCTCTTCTTCCTCTTTCTTTTTAAAATCTCCACAAACCAGAATTTTTTTACTATACTGGCTAACTTCAGATGTTACTGTATTTGATTTGCCTTTCAAAATTATAAACAAATTAAAAATATAATAGGGTTCTTTAGATTATCAGTTTCCTCTTTCATTAGCATGGAAATTAAAGAACTGACTATGGAAATTACGTATGTGTCACATTATGAATGGGTCAGATATTTTGCTGTCAAGTTAAAGAATAGGTGAGGTTTCCAATCATGTGGATTAATGAGATTATGGATAACCTAAAGGGAAGTATATGTTTGTGTAACCCCCTAATAAAAATTCAGTATTGCCACTTAATCTAACCTACATGTCTTTCCAAAAGATGATCACACTGATTAAAGCACAGTCTGAAAATGGCAGAAAATAAATGGTTTAAAAATCAGTCATTTTGGGAAAAGACTATAACATTGAAGGGATTTCTAAGGCACACAAGACCACAAATAAATCACACATAAAAGTTTTATGATGTCAAGAAACAGTTTGGCCAGGAACTCAGTAAATACCCAATATGCACAGTCTATCCTAAGAAGCTGAAAGCCTGAGCTCATTACAATACAGGTAAATATGAGGACCTCCCCTTAGACTCAAAACAGAACCAGACCTATTTTATTTCAGGTTCTTCCCAAGTAGTATTAAAGATTAGGGGACAGTACACTGGTAATTATAAAGTTTGCTACCAAGGAGAAGAGAGAGCTGAGAAAAATAACCTATAACCAAAACTGAGGACCAGTAAAGCAGGGATCTGGAGCCACTGGCCTAGGGGCAAACCAGCTTTAACACCTCTATTTCTGATGATAACCCTCAAGCACCAAGAAAAGATGGTAATTATGTTTGTTGTATTCAATTTAGCATGGCAAGGAAGGAAACATGGTTTTATTCTATTATCATTTAAACATTAAAACAATAAACTTCAGTTATCTATTTTTAAAAAATCAATTTACCCCTTAAGGAAATGAGGGACTGTTGCCTTTATAGATGACAGGTCACTGCAAAAGCCTATCTTTATACACACACCAAAAATAAAGCAAGGCAAGGGGAGCCAATTCTATGATGGGGATTCAACTACTGTTACTTCCTTTATGAGAATAATGAAAAAAAATATTTCTGCATTTAGAAAGATGCTCACCTGGTTAGAATAAAGGAAAACACTGCATAAATCACAAAATGTGCACCTCACACACACACTTTTGCAGAGCTGGGGATTGAACCCAAAGCTTCACACATGCTAGGCATGTGCTCTACCAAGGCAGTTATTCTGATTAAAGGTCATCTATCCAAAAAGATTCTGGAATCCTAAAACATTCCTGAGTGCTTTACATGAAAAATAATCTGTTTCTTTTGAGAGTACACATTTTTTTTTCAAAGTAAAAAAACACAATAGCTATTATGCTGAGTAAACAGACTCACATAAAGGCTTTCCCTTGGGCCTCTAAGTCATCAAAGTATCATATCAGGTATCCAAGCTACCCTCTTCCCGTGGTCTGCTCAGAGAAGCAGCTGGTGGGAGCATCTGCAAGTACTATAACATTACAGAGAGCAGTCCCAAGTTTTCAGAAGCCTAAGAATGGTACTTCTATTGTAACCAGTAGAGTACTCACTTGCCTTTTAGGAAGCACCCTGTATGCTCTACTGCTTTCATCTACACTTAATTCATACCTCCTTAGGTCAACTGCCTGGAACATGCTGGAGCCAGACCTGAGGCTCCTCACTTTAGGACCAGACTTCAACAACTGAAAGTAAATTCTGCTTCTTTCCACCTTTTCTTGGCAGAGCTCCCAGATAAGCTGTTTTGCTTTTCAAAATACCAAAGAAAGGAAATGTTTTCTAAAACAATGCTGGTAAAAGCTACAAAACATATGGCAAACAAGATGCCTACAAACCAAATGTGTACGGTATCTTTACTCAATACAAATGACTAACATTTTATGCAAAATGTCTTTTGGGCAAGTCTTAGATATAAATTTTTTTTCAAAATAAAGACTGTGATTTGTTTTTTAAATAACAACAGAAGTCACATACCTAAAAGGGAAACCTCATAATATTAAAAAAAAAAAAATCAAGATTCTGATCTCTTTTTGACATAGACGTTTAGGGTATAATGATGACCCTTGCACATCTGATCACAATTCATTGAGAAAATTCTTTAGAGGACTCATTACATAAAGGAATCTCTCCATGTTATATTGAGCAGTTTGCCTTCCCTTTAATTTCCAATCCAAAGAAGTTTTATTAATTTCCCACCACCTCTAAGGAAACCGCTATGATTATAACATTAGCATATACTTACATTCAAAGCATTCTTTGCAGCTTCTGCTTCAGAGCGACTGTCAAAGCTGACAAAACCTACAGGCTGAGGAAAAAGAAAGAGAAATACAAAGAAAAAAAGTCAGGTAATATCTTTTTCTGGGGTCAAGGTTGATGTCAATTGAAAAGCTAAGATAAAGAAATGACCACAAACGACAGGTAGAAGTAAGAATAAGACCCAAAGAATCATGACTCAGTGGTATAGCCACATTTCTAACATGAATCAAAGGGATGGTCAGTAATGGTGGTTCTTCAAGAGCACAGCTGGGGATTTAGAGAATCATTAAAAAACAAAACTAAACTAAAAACCTTAGAGGTGATTGGATGATGAGCAGGAGTAAATAAAGGGATACAGACAATTTGGAGTTGAAGAGGCTCTACTTTCTTAAATTGAATTCACTATTTCAGTTTCTTCATCTTTTAAAATGGAAAGAGAATAGAATTACCACCAACGACACAGTGGTTAAGCCCTATACTCTTACTGCATGACCAAAATTACAAAGTGAGCATGCATGTCTATCTCAAATCCCTAGGGATGCCTTCAAAAAAAAAAAAAAAAAAAAAAAAAAAAAAAAAAATCCTTATTAAAAAGCAAAAAACATGTAGCAGTGATAATCCCATTGCCTTTTATCACAGTTTTTTAAAACAAAGAGAATTAA